AAAAAAAAAAAAAAAAAAAAAACAAGGAAATCAGGAATCCAAGATGGTGGTGAACAGTGTGCACCATATCTGAAGGACAGAGGATCTGAAACTCCAAAATTGGTGAGTGGAGGGGCGGCTGAACCCAAAACAACGACATGGAGGCTTCCAGGGAGAAAGGGGACAAACCCTGAACTGAGACCAATAGGATACAGGTCTCCCATGGACTTCTCTTTGGACTTCTCCTGGGGCCTCAGTTCCCAGGCACTTCCCTTAAAGGTCCAGAGGCAGTGGCGGAGGCACCGAAGTCAGCAGCAGAGGCAGTCTGCGGAGCACGCAGCTCCTTGCAAAGAGCACAATACTGGCTGCTCCGAGCACAGAACTCTCCGCTTAGAACTTGAGACAGAGGACATTCAATCCCCCGGCATTTTCCCACTACAGGCCTCCCTTCCCCCTCCTTGGCAGAGGTGGCACACAGTATCTGCAAGAGAGCGCAGATCCAGCCCACAGGGCCAGCCACACACTATACAACACTGAAGTATTTAGGAAATCAGTGCAGGCACATTGAATCCGCAATCTTTGCCCCCTAACGCTAGCATCCACACCTCCTCCTGCACCTGCTCCCCTCACCCACATCCCAAGCCCCTACACTTTCTAGCATTCTCTCCTTCAATACACACACACACACACACACACACACACACACACGCACGCACGCACGCACGCACACACACACACACATTTGCTCCCCTGCAATAGTGATTCTGCACCAGCGGCTTTTCCTCTCTTAGGTACAGCTGAAGCACCAAGACACACTCTCAAACCAGTGGACCTTTCTCATCTTCCTGAAGAATACTCCAGACACCAGAGAAAGACAGTTCCAGTCTGAAGTACAGACTCCAGGAACAAACAGTGAAGGTTATAGATAAGCAGATGGCTAGAGGTCAGCGTAAGAACACACCCAACAAACATCAGGAGATTATGGCTCCACCAGCAATCCCCAGAATCAATGGATATTTTAATTCAGTGGAAGCACAGGAAAATTATTTTAAAGCTATGCTTATGCAGTTATGAGAGGAACAAAAATAAGAAATGAACAAATCTCTCAGAGAAATAGCCACACAAGTGAAGGGAAATAAAGAGGAAACAAACAAAAATCTCAGGGATATAGCCACACAAGAGGAGGCAAACAAAGAGGAAATGAACAAAGCTCTCAAAGAAATACAGACAAATATAGAAAGACAAGTAGAGGCACAATTAGTGGCATATAGAGAGGAAATGAACAAAAAAAAAAAAAAGAAGAATCCATCAGAGAAAGACAAGAATACACATTCAAACAGATGAAGGAAATGGTGCAAAGCATGAAAACAGAATTAAAATCAATAAAGAAAACACAGAGAAAACCCTGGAGCTTGAAAACCTAGAGAAAAGATCAGGAACCACAAAGGTAAGCATCACCAATAGAACACAAGAGATGGAAAAGAGAATCTCGGGTGCTGAAGATTCACTTGCTGAAACTGATACTTCTCTCAAAAAAAAAAGTAAAATCGTAAAAGTCCCGAACACAAAACATCCAAGAAATCAAGGATGCCATGAAAAGACAAAACCTAAGAATAATAGGAATAGATGAAAAAGAAGATTCCAGGCTCCAAGGTACAGAAAATACTTTTAAGAAAATCATAGAAGAAAATTTTCCCAACTTAAAGAAAGAGATGTCCATAAACATACAAGAAGCCTACAGAACACCAAATAGACCAGATCAGAAAAGAAACTCTTCATGTCACATCATAGCCAAAACACTAAACCAACAGAACAAAGAAAAAATATTAAAGGCAGCAAGGGAAAAAGGCCAGGTAACATATGGAGGTAGACCTACCAGAATCACACCAGACTTCTCAACAGAAACTATGAAAGCTAGAAG